GTGACTTGAAAGGTGTACCTATACAATAAACTTTGATGTTGTCTGAAGCACATCATGAACTTTGCACTCATAAGTTGACTGCAACTGCTCGTAGAATCTACGTCATTATCTAGAAAAAAATACAAGGAGGGTGACATTTTTTCTCGAAACTGCTGTCAGTGATTTGCTGTCATGCTCATCTGAATTTCCTATTCTCGTGTCATACGACCTGTGTCTAGAGATGGCGTCACAAGTTGTTGTTCACCATATAAAGGCTGTTTTATTTCTCTTTGATATTGTTCTTTTTCTTTATCGAACACAAAACTTGTTTACTTTACAATCTTCTTTCATCAGGTCGTTTCGTTTCTCTTCGATCAGTGTGTTATAACTTTGTAAGGCTAATAACCTGACCTCACAGGTTCAATTTGACGATCATGCGATCGTTCTGTACTCCTCAACCTTTCAAATATCGACTCTTCTGTGCTTATGCTTTCATCAAACGACCACCGCCAGGTAAGCTTATCACTAATCCTAAGTCGGCATTTCTGCGGGATGCCTCGAATCATCGAATGGAACAACGGGAAGTATTGAGAGCTCCCATGACCATAATCAGTTTCAAGACAAATAATTTATCAATCTATGAATGCAGTGTTGAGCATGATTACTTGTTAAGACAGTCTTCTCGTTTGGCATCTAGACTGTCGTCAAGTATGCAGGTGTGAACTTGGTTGGGTACATTGCCCACATGAAAAGAGCAGAGTGGATCGGAAATTATGGGAGCATTGAGATCACGAGTAGGTCATGTATGGGCAAAGCTTCTAATCTCAGAAGTGTGATCATCTTTTTAACGATGGCGTGATTCGACCTTAGCTGAGGAAAACTTGATCATCAAGGGAAGATACTAAAGATAGTTTGACATGAAATGATGTCATTTTGATACCTCCATCGATCAAGTGATATCTTATCATCAACCTGCTGACCTAATCTTGATCAAGGATGATGACTTGTCGAAAATAATAACTTTTGATGACTGCAACCTATAAAAACCACTCAAGTTCTACTTTCAGATTCGTTCATCTCTTACCACTTTCTCATCGCTATCAAATCCAGATTACACAAACCACAATTGTCTTCTTATCTACCTTTCAACGAGATTCCAAAACTTTTCAAACCCCTTTGGATTTAATACCATGACTCGAAGGTGAGACTCTTGAATGAAATCCACCTATCATCTTGTGTTCTGAGTTAATATACCTCTCCCAAAAAACCAGTCACAAAGCCAACCAAAATGAGCCTAAATCGTCTATAGTCTTGAACGCTCCAGATCCAAGTCGTACCAAAAAAGACGGATCTGGTAAATCAAACAAGGGTAATGCTCAAACCCAGTTGAGTTTTGAAATCATATTAATTCTTTCTTGAGTTCTTGAACGGTTTTCTCATCAATCTCTTTTGATTCAAAAAATTTACTCAGGATCAAAGAAGGAATTGAAGAAGCCAGACAACAACGTGCTTTTAGTGCGTCTCCTACAAATTCTGCTCAATCAATTAGTACGTTTCAGAATGACTCTCTTGAAGTTGATAACGTTGATCATCAAGAGTAGAATCGAAATCTGAAAACCTTGTTTCTTTGTTTTATTTCATTTTACCTATATCAATCTCTCAGAAGTCGTTGTTACTAAACAAGAGACTCAACCTTCAAAAAAACAAGCCTAAAATATATGTTTCTCTGATCTAGACTTTCGGAAATGATTACGAAACTTACAAATCAAGATTGTAGAAAACCTTTGCTGATGTCTTGACCTGTGTTTGTCGTTTGTTGTATTTTTGAAACTTGTAAAAACTGGGATGATGATGTTCTTGATTGTATTTATGCGATTGATCCCTTGAATGTTGTAAACTTGTGGTTGACGAAGACCAATGTAGAACTTCATATATCCTAAATATCTTGATAGAATCGCCTTGATTTTGGATGACTGATTTGGTCTACAGTAGACTAGGGCTATGACCCGGCCCTGGCCCTAGCCGGCGGGGTCTGGTGAGGATTCTCCAGGGTAGGTCGAGGCCAAGCCCGGCGCCTAAAGCCCAACCTGATGATAGCGACGAAAAGGCCCTGTTCCAAGGCCACTCAGGGCCAAGGCCGTCCAAAAGATCTTTGTGGAGGCAAGGGTAAAGGGCTTGTTGAGACATTTTTTCGAAAAATTGATGTTATTAAGCATCTGTCCCAAGCTTTGAAATAAAAAGGGATTGCCCAAGCCAGGGCCAGAGAACAAGATGACAGCAAGATTTTTTTACATATGCCCCAATTTTAACCTCCTCCATGTATTTCTGGGAAATTATACTTTTGAGTGATTAAAGATCAATCATTTTCACCTCTTTCTGAGAATTACAGGCTCTGAGCGGAATCACCACTCTGGAAAAGATAAAAAGGACTCATTGTTTATCACTCACTGACAGTTGTTCCAACCAAGATCTGGCGGTACTTGCAGTTGTATTGTACATAACGGATATCTTTCATCCTCCTGTAGTTTTGCTTCAAGCCCTGTTTATTTATAAGAAATGGGAATATTTGAGTAGCAATATTGGAGCCAATACAGGCTACTTCTCAGGCAAGGAATCTGTTTTGGGTGGTAAGTGCCTTGCTCAAGCCTTGGGCCTTTGGCAAGGGACTTTGTTAAGTTTTGGTTTTGCACCGCAGGGGCCTGGCCACATTTTAGCCACTGCACAAAATCACACTCCAGTGTAGCCCAGTTTTCTGCTGGTGCCAGCTGTTTTCTCCCCCCAAATATCACCCCTGTGCCCAACATAAATAAGTCCCTTCTAAAAGTGTAGACATCCTCTGGAGCCTGCGGAGGAGGGACTTATGACTTAAGTCAACACAAATTCACATGTGATGAGAGTGCAAAATTACAGTTTTTGGCTTTTTGGATTCCATCTGCCTTGAACATCAACACCCACTATTAGCCTCAAAAATCTTGAAGGATCCAGATTGTTCTCCTTTATCTTCTACATACAATCTCTGACATATCTTCCATCATTATAGAAAGTTGTAGCTTTAAAATGAATCCAAACCAATGTAACTGTTGGATGTTCTGATTGCATGACTGCATAGACAATTGGATCTCATGAACTAATTTGACCCACATGACTATGTATGTATATGTAGTTGCCACAGATTTGTGTGTGGATATCCTGATTTATCAAATAATGAATTTGCTTGATTCTGGGGTTCTGGAGCAGTTCAGGTGATTTTGAAGAGGCAAAAGAACTGCAAACATTTGCCCACCATATTTCATAAGAGCACCTCAAAGTTCTGGATTGTGTGAGATGGTGAAATCAATGTTTAGAGATAGTTACTGCCAAAGCAGAAATACAGTCGACTCCCTTGAAATCCATATCCCTCTAATCCCATACTTCCAGCTAACCCATAGAAATTTGGGTCCATAAAATTTATGGGCAGGGAAAAGTGGCCCAAAACCCATACCTCGCACTATTCCCATGACCCATAGGTTTTTTGCAGTAAACCTAGGTCAAAAGCCATAACCAAAATTTGCCACAGCTTGAAAAAAACCTGCATCCTTGTGTATTTTTCAGCATAGCCAGTCTCAAAATGCTTCCAAAAGACCTTTTGCAATTCAGCATGTCAGATATCAAAACAGGTTTCAATGCCCTACAAACAGAGAATAACAAAAGATTCAAGCCTCTCAAGCAACCTATCAGTGGAGGGAAGAAATTGTTGTAGACAGATACAAGGCTCATAGACTGTACTGGAAAGGTAAAGAGTTGTTTTGGGGAAGATCATAGCATAATAAAATGCGGCTAAGGCTGCCAGTCAACTCAACAATGATGAGCTGAAGAGACTTGAACTTTTGGTTGGGAAATTCAAGTACAAACGGAATGGTTGCAATCATCTAAGACTGTGTGCCACTTTGCTGCAATCTATTCCAAGTTGAATATGAAGAAATGATTTTTTTGATTGGCCTGTTAATTTTTTTATCTCCCTCTTCACCCACACTTTGCCTGCCAAACCTTAATCTATGGGCTATGAGGGAGATCCTCCAAAACCATACACCCATAAAACCCATAGTTTTAGGCTTCCATAGAATGGTATGGGTTTGGAGGGAGTTGACTGTACTATCAGGCTTTGAAATACAATCAAGTCACAAGCCCCCCCTCCGCAGGCTCTGGGCGACGTCTCTGTGGTTGGTGGGGCTTGTGATAAGCTAGCCCCTGCGCTGAGCTTCCCTGCCCTTTTATGTACGCAGCGCACTCCTCAGAAGTCTCACCACCGGCGCAGCGCATTTTTGCGCCGCTGGCGTCGGGGGTTCTCTGGGCATCTTGTACTATTTACTACTTGAGCTTCTGAATATCTCGAATGGGTCATTCAATCTATTGCTACTTCACGTTCAATTTTATCATAGATCATTTCCAGGTAGTGTCTCCTTGCCTACCTCAAAGAGAGTTGATATTCTCTTCTTGACAAGTAAAGGCCAAACAAACACATTGATATGAGTCTGATTCTACTCAAACTTCTCGAGAGAGGCTGAGCTGTTGAAATATCGGGCTTCACATGTGTCATCAGAATTCTCACCCAATCTATGAATATCCAGTCTTACATAGAGCATATTTCATTATTAGATATGAGTCAAGCAAGTGTTACGTACCCTAAAGGAAATTTTCGAGACCCAAGCAACTCGGGTTAATTTGTCAGAGTATCAAAGAGATCTTTAGGAAACCTATTGAAGATCTGAGATCAACAAACACCAGCAATGACAATGTGGGCTGCACATGAAAATGATATCCTTCAAGTCTGATCCCACATGAATGTTCATGTTAACTTGTTTCTTCATTCTTTGAATTCGACATTATGTATGATGTCATTTTCTTTGGTCTCTCTCACAATTCAGGCATTCTAAAAAATCGATCAACAATTATTTTATTTTATTTTTTCAATCAAAAATGAATCTCAAATAAAAAGTTAGATACAAGAAAGGATCAAGGAAACAGAGTTAATAGAAGAATGGTCAATTTGGAAAGCTAGGTTTTATAGGAGAAGATTCGGTAATTGAAGGTAGACCATTTAAATTATCAGACTGTAAGTTATTGCTACGAGAATTAGAACGTTGGAACCCTAAAGGACTTGCGACTCTAGAAGGATTTGGACTTTGCCTACCGACAAAATCTTTGAGTCTTGGGTTTATTCTAAATTTACCAAAAGCTTTTTCCATGTCTTCACGAGTAGCGATCCTTAATTCCTCCGTTTGCCTTTTCCTTATCTCAGCTCTCTCAAGGGAACTTTCACGATAAGAAGAAATTCCTGACCTGGATGAAGTATTCAACCTGCCTCTGCTTACACTTCTAGATGATTCAGATGGCGGATTTAGTCCATTTCTACTGGAACTCCTAGAGATATCGGGTGAGTTGTATCGACTTCTGCTTCTTCTCTCCAATTCCCATTTCTGATAAAGTTTACTTACACTATCTTGCCTAGAGTCTGAGAGTCCAGATGAAGAACTTGGACGTCCGAGTACAGTGGAATTTGAATCGATGGATCTTGTTCTCGAAAGGTGCGTACCGGAGCTAGACCTGTGATTATTTTGGAAATTTTGTTGAGTCAGAGATCGAGTACGTTCCAATGGTGGTCTGACGCTGCCATTATCTCCACGAGTAGAACCTGAATTAGCAGTCATCTTTCGCTGTAAGCTTGGGGGGATGTAATCTGGCACGTAATCGGTTTCTTCATCTGATGAGTCTGGGTCACGATAAGTAAATCCAGTCCCTGATGCAGTCCTTTTAATTAATTCGGGTCTTGAAATGCCTGATGAGTGAGATCTGAGTAATGTGGGTCGGCCATTGGTTGAAGAAAGCGAAGTGGATCTTTTTGGAACATTCGGACCTTTTCCATTCGTCGAGGGTCCGTTAACTCCTTCACCATTCCATAAACCACTGAGAGACCAACGTCCACGCGAGCTGGTTGATCTCGTTTTTCGAATTTCTGGTGAGTCTCTGTTAGACATGTTATTGAGGTGTAGGTTATTGGAGTTCTTCAGTAAAATATTATTGGAGTCGCGTGGTAAACAGTCGTTTGGAAGGATTTGATTGTGTTGGTTTTTGGGATGGGAAAGAATGATGCCAGGTGAAATTCCCTCCTTTTATAGGAGTAGTCAGCCATCAGTCTCAGCAGATCTCAGCTTGTAAAATGTTACTGAGAGCTTTTGTGTTGTGATAAAAAATCGTAATTTATGAGATCCTGAGCTCTAGAATTGAAGGCATGAGCTATTGCGAAAAGTAAAATAATGCATTAAACATTCTCTCGATGTATGAGTTCGATTCAAAATTTGCGAAAAGTTGGTGTGTGACGGAGGCCAGAAAGCTTGAGAGGATAGGTAAATGTGATGAAGCGAGTTATTGGGCTTTGGCATGCTTCAGATCTTTTTTCGATTTGATCACCTCTGTGAGGCTCAGAAGAGACGGGGGAGCTTTCAAATGAAAAGTCAGTGATCAGTTCCAAAAGCGATAGTCAGAGCTTATCTCCAAAGGGTGCGACAAGCTACTTTACTGCTGCTTTTGCTACCATTAACTGACGCATATTTCCCTTGTCCTCGCCCACTACAAACATCGCAAGTAGGAAGGAAGAATGCATTTCCGCCGGAATTGGAAAGCTTACCTTTCTTTTGAGATAAATCATGGGGACGAGGCAACGCGTCAAAGAGATAGCTATCAGATATCCTCAAAAGTCAGTAAATCAGCATATCTAATGCGCGACACCTGAAATGATGTGGAGAAAGACGCGCGGAATGCATGAAGGAATTTACTTTGAGGATAGATTAGAACGCTCTAGCTTGAATGAAGAAACCGGAGCCTACTCCTTGGAGAGTTTCTTTCGCGTCCATCTGCTTGTCTTTTAGATGACTATGTATAACGTCTTCCAAACTTCAAGGATTGTTTTGCGACTTCCGGATTGACTTCTGGTAAGAAAGGACCAAGAAGTGCTCTATCAGATCATTTAAAGATATGATGAAATCGTGCATAGCTGAATGGAAGTGATTTGAATTCTAAACTCTCAAATTGCGAGCAGCTGGGAACCTATGAGTCAACTAGCATTCTCTGCGGCGGGCGCCGCCTTGTTGATTCTGTCACCAAAAATGAACTTGTTTCTTAATAGACCCATCTACCAGTATCTTATCACCATCACCATCTTCATCTTGATCATTGTTCATACCAAGTAAGAAACCAGAAAGATCTGTCATAAAAAATTTGAATCAATGCAAAATAAAATTCATCAATTTCATCAATTTCAAAACCAAAAGTTCCTAAATCAATCACTTTATCTTCTTAATTAAAAGTTGAATGTATTCAATTTGTAAATATTGTCGTTTTGGATTTATATGTGATAATGCTTTAGAAAAGTTTGATAAATGATTAGTTGTAGATGAGATTATACTTGTTGTTCTTTGATTGTCGGTTTGAGATATTCATCGATCAAACAAAAACCAAAGGATCCCCATCAATCAAAGGAAGAAAATTGGATAAGATCATCAAAGGTAAAAAAGTTTCATTACTTACAGATAACATACAAAGTTCAAGATAAAGATTGGAATATAAAAGTTTAGGTATTCTTAAAATTTCAAATAATTTAATCAAGTCATGACAATATTTAATATAAAATTCAGGTAAAACTGTAATGATCACTTTACTAAATTCACTCTTATTAGAATTTTCAATCAATTTGATTCCATTCAATTCTTCATCTTCTCCTTCTTCATCATCTTCTGTGATGATTCCTTCTTTTTGTTTTTCCTTGTGTTTCATTTTTTGTTTATTCTTCTTTAATTTGCCTTTTTTTGATTGACATCTCTTCTTCCATAAGTTATTCAGTTAATTGACTTAAATTGACTAAAAAGATCTCAAGTGAAACATTTTCTTCATTTTCAGTTAGTTTACATCCTTCTTCACCTGACTCAAATTCTTTCTCTTCTTATTCCTCTTACTCATTGGTTCTCATCAATGATCCACATTGATTGTTATTTGAAGTTAAAGTTTGACCATTGTTAGTTGTGTTTGTTATAACAGTAGAATGATCTAATAATGAATAATCTGACATTGATTGCCAATCATGTATTACTTCTCTTTCATCCCATAAACTTTCAATTGTGGAAGCAATCCCACCCTTTTCAGGGAATTTCTACAAGGATCCAATACCCAGAATCCCTTTGTTCCTAGCTTCATCATCTGTAGCTTCTTCTTCTTCCTCTTCATATTTGGGTTTGGTTTGGTTAGTTGAACTTAAATCATCTTCTCAATCTTTAGGTTCTTTGACTCAAATATTTCCATCTTTTCCAAATTTAATCAAGAGAAGCCAAGTATTTCAATTTTAAACCTTTTTTGACCTGATCATTTCCCATACTATTACCAACAATTCAATTCCTTTTTGATTTTTCATATATTTTAATGGATTAGGTCCAATTTTGATTCTTTTAGAATCATAAACTTCATTTAAAAACTGTTTAAAAAATTTACCAATCAATTTCCTTACTTGACTTTCTTGATCAAAGATCAATTTCATTAATTGATTTCTTTGTAAACTTTCTAAAATTCCTCCATGTAAATCTAGAATTGTCAAAATTTTGATGGCTAAATGTCTTATATTAATTTCAGGTTCTCCTATTGCAATTTCTAAAAATCTTGATTTAAATTGGGTGGTGAAGTGTTGCATTGGTCCTAGATTATCTTCTTTAGAGTATAGATTCTTTAAAGCTTTCATGGCTTCAAATCTAGCTTCCTTATTCTATGTCAAGATAGGTTTCAGACTCAAAGCAGAGTAGATGATCTGGAGGGATTAGAACAACACTTACAGTATCAGTCAAGACCCAACTCAGATATTGTATATAATGACCACCAAAGAAATAATCAGGAAGTTGATTCATCCACTGCCCTAGAGCTTGAACGCCTTTGATTCGGATCTTGGGATCTGAATCTCGATATCAATGAACAAAAACCCTGTACAAAAAGGACAATCTTGTCAATCTTTTCTTCTTTGTCCAGAGCAAGGGAACTCAACTAACCCATCAAGGAAGTTATTAATACAATTTTCAAGACTCTCTAGTTCCTGGTCATTGACTAAACTTTTCCTTTTTTTCCCATGCATTTGATTATTCACCACTTCCGTCGATTATGATGATTTTTACTTTTGAAATCTAAAACTTTTTTATTTAATTGATTGAATTCCAAACTAACTTGAATTAAAACCTCAATAAATGAACTCATTAAACCAACCAAACAAACAAACAAACAGAAGTAGAAGTATGTCAAATTGATCTTAAAGAAGATGTAGTTATACTAACTAAATAAGGTTGTAATGAATTCATTAAATCAGTTTCATATAAGATCAAACTTCGATGTGATAGATTGATTAATTGATTAATGTTTTAAAGAAATTGATCAAGTTGTTTTCAAAGTTTTTTTTCATGGTGAGTTTTAGTTTCAATGATTTATTGATTGATAAAACTTGAAGCTGGTAAGTATCTTGATCAAACGTGGTCTCCCTTAGACCATATTCTCGATGATTTAGTCCTTGTGCTCTAAAACCAAAACTGTTCTGAACCCAAAGTCCTGCACGAACTTGAGCTAGGAGTGATGCCACTACAATTACATAAATCAAAACATTAGTGAGGGAATCACGATTTTGTAAGGAAGAAGGTTGAACAGCTTACCTCTCAGAACATCCTCAGATACGATCAGCGCACCCAAATCTACGTCATCGTGATTAGGAGGTTCAACCTCAGCAAAAAGGTCTGCAATGCCACGCATCGGAAGACCATCAAGATTTTAAAATTGATTCCATGAATGTGTCTAAGAATCTCGGCCAAGAGCCAATTGATCGGATGATGAAGACTAACAGCCTCTTTATCTATCCTAAAATCAATACATTTGTAAGTAACTGCAGATGAAGGTGGAGTCACTGAAAGACTTGAACCAAGTAAAGCAGATCCAAATTGAACTTCATGAAAACTACATTGTCTGGTAAGCATATGACCTACTAAAACACGGATTGTGTTCACGAATTGTTGATTACTCGCTTTGGCATAACATTCACTAAAGAATTTACAAAGATTAGCTAATTGAATCGTTAAATTACATGCAGTCACTCAAGCATCAGATCCGAATTCCACATGAACGTTTGCTGCTTGTTTGTTAGGGTTCATATTCGTAAATAAATCTACAAAGGTGATGAGATCCATTCAACGCTTTGTGTCATGACACACTACGCCAAATTGAAAATTTACCGCTGAGTTTAGAAAATTGAGCAGACATAGAAAATTATGGAAAAGCTGGGAGGGGTCAGAAAAATATGAAAAAATTTTGGTTGGGCCCTTTGGTGCATTCCAATCATCTGGCATATTTTTTCATATTTTTACAACCACAATTCAAATAATGTCAGAAACCCAATTTTGGTCCAAAACTGGCAGGTAGAGACACAGTGACCTTGCAACACCAACAAAATCATCAATTTTGCTCCAAAACATGTAGTGTCTTGACATTCTGAATGCCACTCTGGCTCTACAGCTTGGGTGCACAAAAAAGTTGTGTGTCTCCAAGAATGGGTGAGATATATCAAGAGATGTACACAGCAGGAACCATATATAAGCATAGAAGTCATTACTACAATGGCTTCAGCACCTTAATAAACCTTGTAGAGCCATCATGTGGCTTCCATAAATTGCAAGTGTTCAGATGATTGAACAAAAATACTCATATCTTTGTGCTTGGAGGTTTTTGCCCAAATATTGCTAGTTTTGGACCAAATTTGAGTTTCTGACATAATATCCCCTGTGAGCAGTTTGCTTTGGGAAGACGTCAAAAATCATGGCAAAAATATGCAAAAATATGCAAAATGAGGGGACAGCACCCATGAATGGAATCGTTATTTTTTCAAATTTTTCTGACCTCTCCTGTATTGGTGATATTTTTCTACAGTTTCAATTTTCTAAACTCAGTGGTAAATCAGTGATCTGGCGTAGTGACAGATGGCCGAATTACACCTGGTGAGCTCAAAATTAAATTCAGTTCATGAAATGAATGATGATATCGTTTGTGTCGAAAACGCATCTCTTCAGAATCAATCGTTTTCTTTTGAAGGTCAGGAGGATAGATGATATACCTGAAATCACCATGTACCAAATTTGAAGGTGCAAATTGATGAGTAAAGAAAGAATAGATAAATCGAGGATCATCTTCAAGAATCCATGATCGGTGACCAAGACAACCACTACACTTGGAACCGTAACGATTTGTAGACTGAAGAGTAAGATATTGTGCTCAGGTTCACGATCGACCAACAAGTTGTACTCAATCAATTGAGGAAAGACTGAAGTGAACAAAATGCCGAGTTGTAATTTGGTAGGTTGTCCCAAAGCCAAGAGTAAGATATAAAGACTTTTTAATTGATCTCGAGCATCTTTCCAAAGTTTGATATCATTTAATAAAAATCTTGCAAATCGACTGTTATAACCTCCTTCATAACCTACTTCAGGTTTTCCACAGATTTTGTCAGCTATCAATTGCTTGATTCAAGTTTCTTCCTCTGGTGGAACATTGTAAAGACGGCAGGCAGCCAGGTCTACTAACAAGGCAATCACGAGTTCTGCAATTTGTTCACAAAACAGATCACGCGCGGTTCGTACAGTGACCATCAAGTCTATACTTGCAATCATTTTGGTGGCTTGCTGTCCACTTGATTCTTAGGTTTTTCTTCAGGGAGTCGGTCATCCTGATTTCGCCACTTTGACCAATCCTTGCCAGTTCTCTCGCCAGGCCCACGTAAGACTTCAAATTGACCGACTTTTCCAACGAGTCCAAAAGTAGCAGGTGTATGAGGGTGAGCCAAAGGCGTCGTAGATGAGGTAGAGGTGACCTTTATTATCCCAAAGTGCAGTAGACAGATTGGTAGGTGTTGAAAGTCTCAGATCTTCAGCCTGAGGATTGTTCTGTAAATGATAAGGATTATGATGATGAGAGTACTGAGTATCAATGATATCGAGTCGTCTGAAGATGAGAAAGAGTTTCGAGACATCTCAAGGTAAGTGTTTTCTTCACGTCTACTCACTTCACTATAAATGTTATCAACCGAATTAGGAGGTGTCATGTCTTCGGGGCTTCTATCCAAAGTGATAAGAAGAAAATCAAGACCGATGGTAACAATTTGTTCAATAACATCTTTACATTCTTTTGGTAATGGATTGAGATAAGTTTTCTTTGATCCTGGACCCTTGTTTAATTTTTCTTTCTCCAGTTTCTCAAGTGCTTCTTCTTTTTCTTCCGATGTTAAATTAGAATGATATTTACAATTGATTTCAGTCTTCCAAGCTTCTGTATCACCGCAATCACAGCATCCACAACCAGTTGTTTGAATTGAGTAAATCACATCATGACCAACGTGATCAGATGCATGAAAACATTAAGAGCATAACGCACAAGTTGTATTGAGACCACAATCACTAGAAGTAAAAGATGATTCAATTAGTTTGATTACTTAAAGAAAGGATGACGTCATGGGTAAAGTGCGAACAAGGTAAAGAGTGACTTACCTGCAATGATGAACTCCTTCACCCTTTTCAAAGACATGGCCACAAGGTTTACCTCGTCTATTTTGACCATATTCCACAGCTTCTTCACCTTGAGCTTTCACCAAGGAGAAAGAAGGGCCGACTTCAGGTAAAGTAGTGATCGGGATAAGTTTGCCATTAGGTAAATGAAGTTCATCAATTTGATCAAAAGCATTTTCAGGAAAGATATGAGTAGCCCATTTAGGTTCTAAAGCAAAACTATAGAGAGTTTTTAACATTTGAGTTGAAGTAGTTGGACATGATGATAAGTTTTGACAATTAGGAGGAAAAGCAGGTGAATCATATGAAGTTGAAAGATAAGTGATTTTTGATAAGAAAGTATGTAAGTAGATTGAACATGATATAATCGGATTTAACTTGATTTGCTAATTCTCTATCACTTCTTACACCTTCATCATGATCATGATCAATCTCTTGAGCTTATTGTTGTTTTGGGTTTTGATTAGTTGTTGATTTAGTTCTAGGTTTTTTAATTGAAGTTTTACGTGTTTGAATTGGTTTTTTAGATCTAATTAAATCTTTAGATTTATTTCGATAATGATCTGATGAAGGTGAAGAAGGTATGTTTTCTTCTTCATCATCTGAATTTAGATTGAATCCTGGTTGACTTTGAATTGGCTTTTTAACTCGTTATGAATGTCTTCTGGTACTTGATTGGGTTTGATTTAGTGAATTAGCTGTCAAAAGAAAGGTTATTGTGAGTTTTCTCTTTTTGATTGATAGGTTCATTGATTATGAAAATGAGAAATTGACAACTTATGATTTGATTGTTGTGAATTCGAAGTAGAAGTTGGATTCTTTGCCGTTTTCTGTTTTACCATACTGTGATATTGTCGATGAACAGGAAAGATGAGAGGAACAAGTTAGTTTGTTATACAACTGGAAGAAATAGATATCATCTATAACTCACAGTGGTTTGACAGGCCATGAAGAGAGGTGGGGTCGGGAACAGCTGAGCCTAAGGAGGTCGGAGTCTTAGGTGTACAGCTTATTAAGGGCTTTAGGGTTTTAATCCAGTTTTGCCGAGAAACTGGGTTGTGCCTTTAGTGTTATGATGTCATACTCACTGTTGGAAGATAGCGTGTTTGCTCTAAGAACTTCTCTATAATTGGCGACGGAGTCCGTTCATTTTTAGAAATTCTAAAACTTCAATGCAAATGACTCACTAGAATTTGAAAAGCTATCCTTCGTTGTGCTTAAAATGTTTTGATCATGCTGTTCTAACAGATAAAATGAAATTACATTAATTTCCTCAGCAAAGACTTTGAACGAGATGAATTCCGTTCAATCTTTGAATCATGTTTTTGTGGAACTGATTTCATCATGAAAAATGTGTTATATCATATAAAACTTCTGTAATGATGCGTGCATCATTACAACATTACATCACATATACTTAGATTAGACTTAGACTTAAGCTGTTTCCTACTTCACCCAGAATCATCACACGCAATCCTAGCTCCTTAGGGAATTCGAGCTGACTCGTATTTCATATCTTCGGAGCTAGGTGAGCACTTTGATATATCATTTCTCTTTTATTGTTTTCACTTTCTCTTTATCAATTGTGTACATTCCTATTCCTTAGAGGGAATTCGAGCTGACTCGTATTTCATATCTTCGGAGCTAGACAAATAAAGAAACACATACTTTGGTTCTAGAACTCTCGAAGTCCACTACGTGGCACTTGCTCCTCTTATTCCCTCCGAGAAAGACTACCATAACGCCCTCCTTCGAGTGAGGACATCAGTCCTTTACACTTTTTTTTTCTCGAACCAACATCGCATATCGGACTTTGCTCGTATAATTCAGAAGAACCTAGTTCTTATTCCTGCAGAAGAACTTAGATCTTAAAACAATTCCCCCGGATTTCCATGCTTACCCCCACATATACCGTAAACTTTATCTATCAAACTGTTGTCTTCGTACATGACCCCCCCGCCTTCAACCCGCAGCCTCTCTAGAGATCTCGTTTCCCGAGTAGACGACCCGGAGAGAATCATCCGTAGTGCACCCCCCTCTCAATTTCAACAACGTTCTATTGAAGAAGCAGGAAGATACTCCTCCGATAGAATTGTCTACGCTTCTTTCCCTCCTAGACCACCTCCAGCGACAGAGAGACCCTATCACCCTCCTTCTACACCACCAACTTCCACGGCTTTACCTGGAACCTTTCCAGCTACTCCTCATCCTACACACAATCACTTAACGTCTCTTCGACACGAGGAAGAACGCCTTCAGGCAGATCTTAACGCCAGATCATCGCAGCCGATGCACTCGTCCCCGCTTCAAAAGGCCGAGGCCTTCACGGACAATGAGGGATCTCAGAGACTTCCATCTACCGAGGATCTACTGCGAGCTATGCTGGCAGCTCAAACCGCTGGCATACAAGCAGCGAATGAAGCAGTTGAGCGTCACACTCAACTTGAACGAGAGCGCATCGTTGCAGCACAAGAAGCTGAGGAGCGCATCGCTGGTCTCGAAGAGCGGCTCTTGACTCTCCAACTGAATGCACCGAGTCAAACTCCATCTACCCCATCTAGGGAGCCTGAGGATCGGGGACTCGATCTCACAAAATTTAAGTCCTCCGATGGACCCCAGTTCAAGGGACCGTACCGAGACACTGAAGCCTTTCTTAGGTGGTTCACTTCGCTGAAAATCTTTTTTCTGGTGAAAAACGTGGAGAAAGACGCGGATCGCATCATCCTCACTGGTTCCTACTTGCTCGAGACCAACTTGCAAGCATTCTGGGCTCATAATATCAACAACTTCAAGAGCTTGTCGTGGGCCGATTTCAAAGAGAACCTTTTCCGTGCGGCTTTACCCTCAGACTGGAACGACAAGCTTCGAGAAAAGATTCTCAGCCTCCAAATGTCTTCAAACGAAGAATTCAAGTTTTATTGCACCCGAGCGAGATCAATACAATCCCTCATGAACCACGATCAGATCAAGATCGACGACTTCACCTTGGCGTCTCATATTATGCTAGGCGCCTTACCAGAGTTGAAATCCTCTCTTCGACTGGATGGACCTTTGGTAAAAGCCAACTTCAATTTCATTAAATTCGAGGAGCGCTGTGATATGCTTTATGAGGATTTAGTAGTGAAGAAGATCTTGACACGTCGACCTCCCCCTTCGTCTCATCCTACTCGTTCTTTTCAAAATCAAACCTTCACCGCAAGGAACTCACCGAACCCATCTTTGTCATCCTCTTCAAACAAGACCGAGGAGGAGAGAAAACAGAAATTCTATTGGAAAATCAATGCCTACCTCGACTCCATGGGTTTGTGCCACTTCTGCAAGAAGCAATGCGGTAGCGAGCACAAACAATGCCCTGGGGTTTTTTCAAAAGAACATGTCATCTTTCCCCCTGGATTTGTTCCCCCACCGAAACCTGCCAACTACACTCCTCCTCGGGCACGCCTTGCTACCACGGCAGGTCGTCCTACTCAACCTCCAGCTGGCCGACCTACCAGAACGAATGTTGCGGCCACTACCTGCCCTGAGTACAATCAAGGCCGCCACAGATACGATACTAGTATCGTTATCGTGTGGCACCTTATCCGGTCACTTGGGTAATTTACCCTGAGTATTGTAGCCGGGCTACGGCTACGATACCCAAGATGATTTCTGGCGGTATTGCCGATCAGAGTACGGTATTTAGTATTGTACTCGGCCTCCGATACGATACCGGATACCCCGTTGTTGCAGTATCCGGACTGATTGGTAAGTCATCTATCCCCTTTCCAATCCAAATCTCCCTGCTTTGGATCATTCAAAGCCGATTTGGGCTTTTAATTCACCGGATTTTGGCTTCAATACGATGCCGTACCGTATTGTCAGCAAATTTGACAATACGGTATCGTACCGTATCGCTCTGTTTTGTGCGATACGGTACCCCACATACCTTGGAATGGTATCGTTAGAGACGATACGGTTCTGGGTATCGTATCCGGAGCCGTATACGATACCCAAAAGTCAAATATGTGGTATCGTGCAGCCGGCTACGGTACTGGTATTGCCGATACGATACCGGTACCGTATCTGTGGCGGCCTTGGTACGATGCTACAACTATTGCAGCATACGAGGAGATTGAGCGGGAATTGCAGGAGATCGCGGAGAACAATGAGGACGAGATTGTACCGGGTGAAGAAGGGTACGTGGATCAACCAGTCTCTCTTCCCACGGTCATCCTCCAATTGACTTACAACGGAAAACCAATTCGCGCCCTGGCTGATGCAGGATCTGAGACCAACTTGATATCGGAGAAGATGATCGACATCCTGGGCCTCCGTCGACGGAAATTGGTCAAGCCAACTGTTGTCGGATTAGCACTTGAACCGGGAGGACAACCACCCCTACTCACTGAATTCACGACCCTTCCCTTATACCATCAGAAAACCGGACTCAAATTTGATAGAACTTATGCAAAGATTGGTCATCTGGGCAGCTCCTATGATATGATTCTAGGCTCTCCTTTTCTTTCTCGTCATCAATTATCTGTGTCTTGTGCGAAGAAAAGTGTAGTTAGTGAAATATCAGGTGCTGCTTTATTGGATTATAGACAGGAAGAGAAATTAAAGAAAGACTTTGAAGCTTCGATCGTGCATGAAGTAGCTGTTGCTGAAGAGAGACGTGAGATTGACCGCTGGAAAATGTCAGCCCTGAGCCCTGTGTACAGGACCACGGACTCACAAACACACATGTAAATATATGTAATACATACATAAATATATGAAACTTGTCTAAAACCATAAGAATTACAACTCATGGCTCAGTTTCAAGAGTCAATTAAGTAACAAGCCTTATTATGACTTAACCAGTAATAATAAACCTAACCCAAACCTAACCCAAACCTAACTCAAAGAAAAGCAAACCTAAGCGCCAACCACAAGTTGACGCCTAGGTCTAGAATATATAAACTCCTCTTCTTCCTACTTTGGAAGAAGAACCAACTTATTATCATACCATAACTCCTCATCACATCTTACTTGATTCTTTACCAAGAATATTGAGTACAGTGATATTGTTGTATCTTGATTATCATAGTTCTACTTTTATTCAGGTTATTGTAAAACCTCAAGTGGTGTTCTGAGCTGGTGGGATCAATAGCTAACAGAACAAGCTTGGAATTTACAAAGGGTTCCTCTTTAAAAGAGTCTAAAGTACCCCGCGGCACCTCTGAATCCTCAGAGTCTAAAGTACTGCAGGCTCCAGAGTTGTAAGATCAACCAGAGCTCCGAGTAAGATCCTTAGAGGGATTACTCAGCCATCCCACTGGCATTATATCCTCTCCTTAGAGGTCAACTAACTGCAGTCTTCACTTGGGTGTACCAGTGAAGACTTTTTCCTAGTCCGTACACACTTCTTTTTAGTGAAGAGTCAGCCAGAAAGTAGCTGACCCCTCACAGAAAACGTGGGAGACACAACTTAAGACCAAGAATGAACCGACATTAAGCACGATAACATCACCTTGGGACGTGCTTGAAGCCTCCCTCCTCATGGAATATCAGGATGTCTTTCCAATTGACATCCCTGCCTTGTCCGACGAAGCAGAAGCCAAGGGAGAGTTTACTGACGGTACCTTCCCGGAACGCATGCAACATGAGTCATCAAAAATCAGACACAAAATAATCCTGACTGATCCAAATGCGGTGATAAATGAAAGACAATATCCTTATCCAGCAAAACACATGAGTGCTTGGCGCAAATTGGTGGACCAACACGTCGCAGCGGGCCATATCAGAAAGTCTTCAAGTCAATACGCGTCGCCTAGCCTCATTATCCCAAAGAAGGACCCTTCGGAACTTCCAAGGTGGGTATGTGATTACCGCACCTTGAACAGCGTGACCGTCAGGGACCGTTCACCTCTTCCTAATGTGGACGAGTTGGTCAGGTTGGTAGCTACAAGGAAGGTTTTTTCAATTTTGGATCAGACGAATGCTTTTTTTCAGACTCGGATGTGTGAGGCCGATATCCCGCTCACGGCCGTGAAGACACCGTGGGGCCTCTACGAGTGGTGCGTGATGCCCATGGGTTTGACAAACGCGCCCGCAACCCATCAATCTCGACTCGAAGAAGCCCTCGGTGAATTGATCAACACGGTGTGCGTCGTATACTTAGACGACATCGTCGTATTCTTGTCATCCGTGGAGGAACACCAGCGTCACATGAAGATGGTCCTTGATCGGTTACGAGCGGCGAACTTATATTGCAGCAGCAAGAAGACCAAGTTGTTTCGAAAGGAGGTCAAATTTGTTGGACATGTGATTTCAGGAGATGGTATAAAGCCAGACAACGAGAAGGTTGAGAAAATACGCAACTGGGTGTCACCTAAATCATCAAAGGGTGTGAAAAAGTTCCTAGGAACGGTACAGTGGATGAAAAAATTTGTCTCTGGATTAGAGAGATACGTGGGTAAACTGACGCCTTTGACAAGCAGTAAGCTAGATCCAAAGAAGTTCAAATGGGGCGAGGCAGAGGAGGCGGCATTTCACAACATCAAACGCATCATGACGACCCTCCCCTGTTTGAAGAACGTTGACTTTGATTCGCCCGATCCACTCTGGCTATTCACTGACGCGAGCGGATTGGGACTAGGCGCGGCGTTATTCCAAGGCAAGGATTGGAAGGCTTCTAGCCCCATTGCTTATGAATCTCGACAAATGACGTCTGCCGAACGCAACTACCCGGTACACGAACAAGAACTCCTGGCTGTCGTACACGCACTTCAAAAATGGAGAATGCTCCTACTCGGTATGAAGGTTAACGTGATGAGTGATCATCACTCTCTCACTTACCTAATGAAACAGAGGTCGCTGAGCAAGCGGCAAGCTAGATGGATTGAACAGCTAGCGGATTTTGACTTAAACTTTCAATACATTAAGGGCGAGGACAACACGGTAGCGGATGCCCTTTCCCGGAAAGACATAGATGACTTACAGGTTGGCGTCGACACAGTGGCTGCTCTAGCCTTATCTCAGACATCAATATCTGACGACTTCAGGCAATCTATTTTAGAAGGGTACATGTCCGACAAATTCTGTGATGCCGTCATTGAAGGCATGCCCCTTCGAGACGACTGCTATGTGGACGACAGCCTCATCTTCATTGATGGACACCTTCTCATCCCCGGTGGCAATGAACTACGCACCAAACTCATTGACGAAGCCCACAAACAAGTTGGACATCTCGGAGTTCTGAAAACTGTTGCGGCTCTACGCGCAGACTTTTTCTGGCCTAAGATGAGTAAAGATGTAGAACGCCGACTGAAGTCCTGTGAGACGTGCCAGAAGACAAAGGCGCGAACCACACTGCCAAACGGTCATATGAGGACCCCTGAATTTCTGGCTCAGCCTTTAGCGGACTTGGCTATCGATTTCATCGGTCCTCTACCCAAGCTCAACTCCTATGACATGCTCCTCACCTGCACTTGTCGACTATCCGGCTTCACACGACTAATTCCTACGAACCAAACAGACACCGCCGAAAAGACTGCCTCCAGGTTCTTTTCTTCCTGGGCCGGCACCTTTGGAGCACCTTCGACGATCATCAGCGACCGCGACAAAGCCTGGTCCTCCAAATTCTGGAAGAGCCTTATGGAACGACTTCACATCTCCTTCCACCGCTCTTCGGCTTTTCACCCTCAAGCAGACGGAAGAAGTGAGAGGACCAACAAGACGGTGGGCCAGATCTTACGCACTTTCACCGCTAAGCGACAGACCCGTTGGCTCGAATCTCTTCCAGCGGTCGAGTTTGCCATCAACAGTGCGATTAACGTAGCCACCGGATTGTCACCTTTTGAAACGGTTTTTGGACGACGTCCAACCCTTTTTCCCTCAAAAGACACCACCGACGACTCACCAGCTTCTCTTGACGTGTGGCTTCGGCAACGCGAGGGCGCTTGGGCACAGGTTCGAGACAACCTCTGGACCAGCCGAGTTATCCAAGCGTTACACCATAATAAACGACATTCGGATATCACCTTTAAGACGGACGACTGGGTCTTGCTCGACTCGGGAGATTGGCGTGGTAGGCACACGGGTGGAGCCGACAAACTGAAAGAGAGGTACGAGGGACCCTACAAGATTTTAGACACGTTCAACAACGGCCAAAGCGTTTGTTTGGACCTCCCCGAGGGCGACAAGCGCCACAATGTCATCAACATCTCAAAGCTGAAGTTGTTCGTGGAGCCTGAGGACTTGACGCGTGGGTCACATGACCAAAAGTAAGTTCTCACCTTTGTATGCACCGCCAGGCCCTCTACCCCATTGTCGTTGTATAAAACATTACCTTGGCCACGCTGTGAACACCGAATTGGACCTTTTGCATCGCCTTCCCTTCACCTCACAGATTACACACCGCGGCGACAACAACGACCACCACCAACGATCTTTTCTTTTTCTATTTAGTTCAAATTTTTTTCTTTTCAGTTTCCTTTTTTTTTTGCTTTCTTCAAGATTTTCTGCTTCTCTTGTTTTTTTTTTCTTTCTTTTTACTTCTTTTCAAGACTCAAACAGAACACTGTCGTGGATTTCTTTTCACTCCCTGCGTGGAGCTTACTTGGCCTTTTTTTTTTCTTTTTTTCTTTTCTCTGTTTTTCTCTTTCTTTTGGCTGCTCATTCTTTTCTCCCCCGACAGAACGCCTCACTTCACTTGCGGATAAACTCAAATCTCTTTGTAGGGGGGGAGAATGTAATGATGCGTGCATCATTACAACATTACATCACATATGCTTAGATTAGACTTAGACTTAAGCTGTTTCCTACTTCACCCAGAATCATCACACGCAATCCTAGCTCCTTAGGGAATTCGAGCTGACTCGTATTTCATATCTTCGGAGCTAGGTGAGCACTTTGATATATCATTTCTCTTTTATTGTTTTCACTTTCTCTTTATCAATTGTGTACATTCCTATTCCTTAGAGGGAATTCGAGCTGACTCGTATTTCATATCTTCGGAGCTAGACAAATAAAGAAACACATACTTTGGTTCTAGAACTCTCGAAGTCCACTACGTGGCACTTGCTCCTCTTATTCCCTCCGAGAAAGACTACCATAACGCCCTCCTTCGAGTGAGGACATCAGTCCTTTACAACTTCTCCATTCCTTCTCCCCATAACACTGATTTTGATCAAATAAATTGGAAAGAGATACAATCACAGAAGATGACTTTTTCAATTTGAAACATCATCCATGCAATTTAACCTTGAGTGAGATATGTAAATAAATTATGATATATGCTGTACACATGAGTCAATTACAGAGTTTAAAGAAGACGAGACGGAAAGGTATACTAAAAAGATCAAAAAGGAGAAAGATAAGTTTAGATTGAAGGAGCTTAAGAATTCCAAGTACTGATTATGAAACTTAAAGGACTTTAAATCCTTCTCAGTCCATCTTCCATACTAGCTTGGCCTAGAAGCACTTCCCTCCATGGCTAATTGACTAGCCACAACAGATCCCATACCTTGAAGTGACATTGGTACAAAAATGACCTGAAGGGTGATGGTTCAAAATTTAGATTTGAGTCAGTTAATCTTGAATCATTTCTGTCAAGTTTTGAGATATACATTTACCTTTGAATCACTTTGCTTGGCCATATTCTGGTAAGCTTCAAGCTGACGAATTTGAATGGCTGCAGGTGAAGATAAGCTAAAAAAAATGAAAAGCCAGATGACTTCAGCTCTCTCTTCCCGCAGACATCAGACAAATTGATTGTCAAAAAAAAAGTCATAGGTTACTTACATATCTGCAGCCTCTCGCATTAGATGAGCAGCATCTACTTCAGCTCGCGCAGCGATGACTTTAGCTTCACCTAATCGTTTCTGTTGAGCTGCACTCGATAAAGCTTCTTGTAATTCACGCGAAAAGATGATATCCTTGATCAAGATCGATTCCACCTGTGTTAAGTGTAATGTGGGATATTTAGTCAGTAATCCTATAAAGTGTTTCTATAGATTGCAAGAACTGACCTGAATGCCCCATTTTTCTCTATGGTAGAGATGATAAGCCAAAGCAAAAAATAAGTTTCGGCGGAATTTAAGTATAATCAAAGACAGTGAATGACAAACGAAACATTCTCTAAGATCTCAGCTATCTCTATTGCAAGACTCTCTCTTTCAGATACAACAGATTGTAAATTACGACCACCCACCACCGAACGAAGTGTAGTCTGAGCCATTTCTGTCAAGGCTTGTTTGACATCATTGATGGCAAAGGCAGCCTTGTCTGATTTGCATATGCCGATTGAGGGTTAGTGACGATCTTGATTTTGCTACGGATAGAAAGGTCAAGAGTTCGATGAAGTGAAAAATGATAAACTAACAAGGATTTGTCTGGAAGTCGATACATATATGAAAAATATTAGTACTATTTCAGCTGTTACAGTTTAGTCATCTACAGGATGTCAAGATCAGAAAGTTTGATCGAGACTTACAACATGCCAATATACGACACTGTCGATATCCACATTCACTGCGTCTTTAGTGACAGCTGTTTGGCTTAAGAGGAGGGATCGATAGGATCAGTTTTCCGCTAGAGACCTTGAGGAATGCGAGATTGCCAATCACGCTCACCGTCCAATGGCTGCCACTTGAATCTTGACATCTACACTTCTTAATTTTTCGCTGAAAGGGTTAACTTTGACTAATCCAGGATCAACCTGAAATCGATTCCATTAGAACAGATAACGCGAGTGAATCAGCAAGTCAACAGGCTAGAAACGGGTTTAAGATCTTTCAATTTTTCACTGATTAATAACTAACCGATTTATAGAACTTTCCAAACTTAGTAATGAGTCCAACGCTTCCCTGTTTAACTTCTTGGTAAGGGTTCCTATTCGACATTTGAGAAACACGGTACATAAAAGGCTATCAATGACCAGTATCAAGGAGACTAGAAGACTTACGGGCAGCAGAAGCAAAGTGGGATGGAGCCTTTCAAGTGAAAGAATTTCAAGGCAATAAGTCGATCATGTTTGAAAGTCTTGGTTGGAGACAATTCAGGCGCGACTTTTGCGCTCGATGCATTTTCAACATACCGAAAGCCCCGAGGAACGTCCCAAGACAATTGAGCATGGCGCCATAATTTCCATAAACCTTGATGAATTACCGAACCCGTGACCGATCAGATAGACACGTCGAATGCAAGATGAAAGTAAGTTCACATGGCATGATGAGGGAAAGACACACGAGGCTGAAGATTCACGAGAAAGAAGACTTACCATATCACCTTCGTTGAGCTGTTGAGCATAACTTGGTTGCATGTCGGATTTTCTTAGTGGCTCGACTGTTATAAGGTGATGGTTTTCGTGACGATCCGCTGTTGGTTTGCCAGAGCTACCAGTGAGAGCTGCATGACCTTCATGACCGACTAGTTGATCAGGTTGAGACTCGCTCTCACGATCGATTGTTTTTGACATCACGTTGAAGGTTATTGCTTGTGGGCTTGGTTGAGACCTTTTCGAGCTGAGAATCGAATTATAATTTCTTGAAATGAAATGTTTATGTGATGGAAGAAAAATGGAAACAGGTTTTGAGGGAAGTCAGCAGAACTATTTATACCACAAACTCAGCAAGATGATAGATCTTAACTAAGGCCGTTCGCCGCGCCCTACATCACCTTCTATATCTATCATCATGAGGACCAGCATATGTATACCAACTGCATAAGATCTATGATAATCACACAGCCGGATAACCGTCAATGTAAAATCACTCAGCATTCAATTCTTATTGTATCATCACTTTTTTGACATCATTTTCGTCATCGATCACCACTCAAACACTACAGTCAACTCTCGATGTAAGCATATCGACCGTCGACAGATTTGCTGTGCTTAGAGCATCTCCTATCGTTATCACGAAGTAAGCATAATTCAAGTTTTGCCCTTTTTTGGCTTGAATTATGCGTTTATGGTGAGAATGGGCCCCCAGCACGCAAATACAAGCCCCGCTTTGAGTGGGGCGGAGCCAGCCCGGCCCCGCCGAGTCAATATGGTACCGCCCAGCAGTTGGACTTACCACACAAATAATCACCATAAAAGCATATTTTTCCTCTCCTGTGAGATTTATGCTTGTATACACAGAGAAAAACTCGCGATAAGAGCATATTTTCGCCAATCTTATGCTTTAATCATTATGCATCAAGCAATTTGATTTTGGCGGAGCACTCACGTATACCAAAAAAAATCGCGCGGCAACCCTTGCTTACATCGCGATATGCATACATGGGGCTTGCTTATATCGAGAGTTGACTGTACTACATTTATTGCTGTGAAGCATGTCCGATATCGTGAGAATCTCTTAAATGCGCTTTTTGATTGAATTGATATACAGTCAAACCGGAAAAGCTTGCCACCAATTCCCCGCCAATTTGCTCGAGTTTTGCGGGCAAAATCGGTCAAGCTTTTCCGGTTTGACTGCACACAACGCCGAGACAGCAACGCTCGCCGTAACGCTAACGTAACACTAACGTAGCTCTAAGCGTCACGTTATCTGTTAGCTTGACGTGTCTCGAAAGAGCTACGTTGGCGGACTCTTGTAACGGACTCTTTTTTTTTGAGTTACGTTAGCACTTTCGGGTAACGGGGATTTGTATTTTGAGTTACGTTACAGCCCCGCACCCCGTTACAGTAACGTTGTTGCGCATGACGGAACGCACGGGCTGACCTTTCCCAATTTGGTCTTCCATCAACCCCTTTTGACAACATCACCATCAAATACCACCTAATACAGATCAGTAGTGTCGCATGATGGACGCAAGGGGAGGTGGTCACGGCCTGATTCCGCTGATGGTGAGTTGGTTCAATTTCCTTTGATTTTCATCAAGCCGATTTGTCAAACGTCTAATCTCTAATCCCTTCATCCGATTCCCTCTTTTGCCTTTTCTCTAGATTCCACATCATTACTTTCACTTCCAATCACTACTTTCCCAAATACTACTCCCAATCATGATTGATCCTAGCCGCCGTTTCTTTGTTGGCATTTTCATACACATGTTCAACTTCGTTTTCTTTCGATTATTGGTGATGCCAGCAAGCTCTCAGCAATCACAACTTAACTTTACCTCGTCATCGTCCTCTATGCCTGTAAACCCATCGCAAACCACCCCTCTTAGATCTCAAAGGACCCGCATTCCTACGTCAAACCCACGAATGGTTCGACCTTCACCGGATAGCCGGCGAAGAGTTTCTGTTGACCACAAGCCTTCAATATCAACTGCCCAGTCTAAGAGAACCAAAGCCACTCTAATCATGGATTCCGAAGACGAGAGTGATAGCCCTCAGGTTGTGGCCCCAAAGAAGAAGCGTAAAACACTCCAGAAGACCAAAGTCAACAACGAAGTATTTTTTTCACGATTATCGAATCAATATTGTACTTTGATCTGAAACTGACTCATACATTCTTTATTTTGTTCAATTTCAAGTCTTCTTCTAAGCACGTCACGAAAGAAGTCCTCCGAGCTGATTCGGAGGAAGAAAATCAACAGGTCCGAAAACGCAAAGCCATCAATATCAAGGAGGCAGAGAAAACCGACCATCTATATGCGTATTATGGTGCACCGTTTCACAGCAAACCTAATGATGTAAGTGTTACTCTCATCTCGATTGATATCAACCATTTCAACAGTTTAATACATTAAAATTGTTCTGCTTTCTCCGCCAGGATAAGACCAAAAGACCTTTGGCTTATCCTTGTCTTTGGTGCAAAGGCCGAGACAAGGACCATCCAGTACGTATCAGCTACAGTAATCCAACGGCCAACCTCAAAGCACATCGGGATGGTTCAACTCAGGAAGTTTGATCCACCACGGGCTGTCCAGGACGACTCCGAGCTCGAGAGGCTGGATTGGACATACCTCCATCTGTTGCCGACATCCGCGCCCAAGAAGAAGCTGAAAAGAAGAAAAGCAACGGTCCTCTTGACGGTTTTGTTACAACTAGCAAGGTTTCTAAGTTCAACAACCTCACATTCAATCAAGGAATGTGTATCTGGTTACTTCGTCAAGCTCTGCCTTGGTCACGTTTGGCCGATCCCTGGCTTCGTGCATCTATCCAGTATCTTAAACCTGAGGCAAAGGTATATGGAAGGCACTGGGCCGCGCTAGAGGCCAAACGCCTCAACTTGTCGATGAAGAATCAAGTTTTTAATGAACTGAAGGTGTGATTTTCTTTGCAGTTCATCTTTTCTCAATTTGGCTTTCATTTAAACTTCAAACTAACATTGATTTTGATTACAGGGCTTAACTTCAAAATTCTCGATGCAACATGACGTGTGGACTACGAAGGGTAATCGTCATGGCTTCATTGGTGCTAATGTTACTTACATCAATCCTGCCTGGAATTTTGTATCTCGTCACCTCACGCTGAAGGTAGTTGCGTGGGAACACCAAGGTGTCTGGTTGGCCGAGCCTTTGGCCAACATATTGATCAAGCACAACCTCGCCGATAAGATGAGTAACACTATCGATTTCTTTAATATAATATATATTTCATTAATATAAATTATCATATAGGCTGATTTATTTTTTAACGTCTTCACTTGCTCTCCCAGACAACTGATTCGGGGTCGAACAATAAAACAATGGCCAATGAAATGCATCGGCAGTTCATTGGCCGTTGTGGTCCTAACTACACCTGGAACCCTGACAGAATGCACGCGTTCTGTTTCTGCCATAAGCTAGCCCTGATTGTAGGAGCAGGACTAGCTGCCCTTGGTCTCAAGACAGCTGCACCACGGAAGATCAAGACTGCGAATCGGGGCCAGTTCCCTGCTGTTTGTGCTACAGTTGCTGAAGAGGACGAGCCGGAAGATTCACAAGCTGGTGAAGGACCTGTTGTTGAAGTACCCGACGTTGCGACGGCGCCATCTGAGGATCTATTGTCTGATGTCGAACATGACCTTCAAGAGGTCAAGGACGAAGACAATCCCAAGACTAACATCATCACTTGATTGGAAGCTACTTTAGGCGATGCGGCGGTAGACGACGAGCTTGACTGGGATGCAGCAGATGCTCAAGATGCAGGCAATCCTCTAATTTTGCTTGAAGACACTGTGGCCCCAAGTCATCAACGCGAGGCCAACAAATTGAATTATATCCTGGACAAGGTTAGTTTTTGTATACAAAGCTTCATCCTTCATGACTACAAACTTACATCCACATCATCTCCAGCTGGACTTTGTTATCCGAAGAATAACGCGCTCATCTTCATGGCGAAATGAATATAACCGAGTTATGAAAAACCGAGGTCTATCACTTGGGTCTTTAATTGCAGGATACGGGATTAGGTGGAATATCAAGTATGTCAGTCGCCACAAAGCGTGGTTGGCACGTGAGGTTAGTGTTTTTTTATTCTTAGGTTATTGTTTTATTGACATCAACACAATCAACTTTTGTTTTAAGGTGATTGATCAGCTTTTAAAAGACGATCTGGAACGTGTAAAGTCAAAGACTCGTCGGCCTCGTAAAAATGGAAAACCTTACGGTTACTTCCATGAGATTACTATATCTCCTTCTGATTGGGCTTCGATTGAAGAACTCAACCGCGAGCTTGAGGTAAGCTTCATATTCAATACTAGATCACTTACATCTACACTACTTATTGAGTCACATACTTCTTTCAGCCGTTCTTGAAAATCACCAAGCAGATGGAGGGTAATCTCCCAACTGGTGCAATGGTGATACCGCAGTATGTTCAATTGCAAGCGGCGTTACAAGAACGGCAACTCAAGATATCAACAAGCGATGCTCTTTATCCAATGATAGAGGCGATGATCACCAAAGTTAAACTCTACCTGGACGAAGCACTTTCAACCGAAACCCTGATCATGGCAACGATCCTTCACCCGGCCTTCCGACTCAAATACTTCGAGAAGAATTTTGGAAAGACCTCAATTACTTACATTCAAGCTGACACCACTTTCAATAGGCTATTCAAAGATTACCAATTACAATCAATCAAACGAAAGCCATCAACTTCGCGATCTGATGATACAGGTTTCACAAAGCAGACAACTTTGGCAATGTTCGATGTTTATAGTGATGAAGATGATGACCATGAGCACCTAGGTGATGATTCTCAGGTTCAAGATTATTTTTGAGGAACGCTTCATATGAAGGAACCCGATTACGATCTTGGCAATCCAAGCGAAGCACTGCAATGGTGGTCGGTAAGTCTGGATGTTATCATTCTTTCTTTTCTTATGTACTCATATTTGCTTCTTTGCAGGTTAATCACAACAGGTTTCCAATTGTTGCACTGATGGCTCAAGACCACCTGGCGAGTTCGGGATCTTCGGCCCAACCTGAGCGAACCTTCTCCGCCGCGGCTGATGTATGTTCAGCTAGTCGAGGGGGCCTGAGTCCAATTACTATTGAGAGGTCGGTCTCAACCCGCATGTGGTTAGTCGAGGGGGTTCC